ACTTAGATAGGGGAAAACCTTGGGAACATCGAATGCAGTAAGCGACCTCCTATAGATCCATTAATCAATCATTTCGTTTCTGTCCCTACTTTTTTTACATTAAAAGATCACGTATACTTACAATCAGAAAGAGACAATTGAACTTTCTGAGAGACAAAATAAGCAGAGAATGCTTGGAAAAGTTGACACCCACAAGACTAAATGAACATTAAAGAAAATAGGGACAGAGGGGAAAAGCGAATCCCCTTCCTAACGAGCCTGTGTAAATGAATAGCAGAACAGGCACGCATATTGAGGAAAGAGGGCTTGGAGAATTTGACACCCACATGACAAATTCATTTTTTTCATTGATGTAAGTTTGGAGGTAAGAGGGACAGAGGGAAACAGCGATTAACCTACCTAACAAGCTTAGATGACAGAACAAGGAGTGTAGACGATAATAATAATAATAATAATAATAACCATTGCTAAGGGCTAAAAAAAGATAAGACGTTGTTGAGAGGTATGATCGACCATGTCTTGAAGGCTACTTGGCTGATAGAAGAAGATTTACCTTTTGAAATTCCATCTCGATTTCCGATTAACAATGACCTTCCCCAGCGGATGCTTGAATACATGTGCTTGATTACTAATCTACTGAATAGGCCCTTCGTCTGTGTTTTCTGGCGTACGACGAGTCGTGCCGTCATAAAGTCTATCCTGTCCTACGTATTCCTAAAATAGTCAGTTCAGCATAACAGAAATACGTTCCAGTGTATGTTTATTCATGACTGGCTTTTCACAGTTTTATCTCATTGTTGTGGTAGGATCCACCTAATTTGCATAGTGGAGTACCGACCATATAAATATGGTTGGTACCGGGAAGAGAGGGGGAATCAAGAGATTCAACCAGAGACTCAGCCCGACTGCGACTCAGTCAACACATTCTCCAGGAACGGTCTTACCAGGAATATACAAAAAACTATATGTAAATATTGTGTACACTTTCTTGTTTCAATACATTTTGTTCTAAGTACATTTTGTTTTGCATTATTATTCCATGCATTAGTCAAGTTTCAACACTCATCAACGTCACCAAAACAAACATCACGTACTAATAATGTTTTAAAACCGGAATTGAATAACGTTTACCAATTCTTCTTTTATGTGCCGTATCCCTTCAGGTCGTAGACGATCATGGCTCTCCACAATTTCTTGTCGTTAGTAGCTCTTAATATATTTTTTTATCTCCTAAACCTTGTTCTGCCATCGCTAGGTAGATTATGCGTTGTTTTCCTTTGTCACTTCGGCCTTCACTCTGTCTTGTGAGTATCTAATTTTCCAAGCCCTCTTTCCTCATAATATGCCCTAGAAATTTCAATAGTCTATTCAAACTTCAGTCCATAGTGTTCTCAGCATTCTTTTTAGTGTCACATTTCTGTTGCTTCAAGTTTCTTCGTCTCTGAGGAGATTGCCGAGCATTCACTGCCATATAGGAAGACTGATATGACTTAACATTTCAGTAGTCTTAAAATGACATACAAATTCAGTGTGGTCTGTTTAAAACAAGAATCAGGTTGTCTGAATTTTGGGGATGAGTTCTTATCATTTATATTATTTATACTTGGACTATTTATATTGTCCTCATATCTGTTGTTGCTATCATAACGTTTCAGCCGTTGTGCCCTCCGGCCTTCCTCAGGTGTATATAGATCTGAGTAACCTACAGTGAATTCTGAAATGAACCCTTTATTTAATTTACGGGGGTAGACAGGTCTCATTCCACTGCTTATGTCTAAGGATATCTTGTTTAAATCTTATTTTTATTTATTACTGCTCAGTTATTGTTCGCCTATTTCAAACTGAGTGCAGAAGCAGAGGGGGGGTAGAAGTGGTATAGAATTAATTTCAACTCGGAGTTAACTTCATCTCGGAATTAATTCCAACTCGGAACTAAAGGTTAGAGTTAGTGTTAAGTTTACAGGGTTAGGGTTACGGTTAGGGTTTTTAAATCGAGTTGAAATTAGTTCCGAGATGAAATTAGTTCCGAGTTGAAATTAGTTACGAGCTGAAATTAATTCCGAGGTGAAATTAGTTCCGAGTTAAAATTAATTCCGAGATGAAATTAGTTCTGAGTTGAAATTTGTTACGAGTTGAAATTAATGCCGAGGTGAAATTAGTTCTCATTTGAAATTAATTACGAGGGGAAATAAGTTCCGAGTTAAAATTAGTTTCGAGTTGAAATTAATTCCGAGGTGAAATTAATTCTGAAACGAAATTAGTTCCGAGTTGAAATTAATTCCGATGTGAAATTAGTTCCGAGTTGAAATTAATTCCGGTGTCAAATTACTTCCGAGGTGAAATTAATTCCTAGGTGAAATTAGTTCCGAGTTGAAATTAATTCCGAGATGAAATTAGTTCTGAGTTGAAATTTGTTACGAGTTGAAATTAATGCCGAGGTGAAATTAGTTCTCATTTGAAATTAATTACGAGGGGAAATAAGTTCCGAGTTAAAATTAGTTTCGAGTTGAAATTAATTCCGAGGTGAAATTAATTCTGAAACGAAATTAGTTCCGAGTTGAAATTAATTCCGAGATGAAGTTAACTCCGAGTTGAAATTAATTCTATACCACTTCACTTACCGAGTTGAAATTAATTCTATACCAAATTAGTTCCGAGTTGAAATTAATTCCGGTGTCAAATTTAGGTGAAATTAGTTCCAAGTTAATTGAAATTGTGAAACGAAATTAGTTCCGAGTTGAAATTAATTCCGAGGTTAAATTAGTTCCGAGTTGAAATTAATTCCGGTGTCAAATTAATTCCGAGGTGAAATTAGTTCCGAGTTGAAATTAATTCTGAGGGGAAATTAGTTCCGCGTTGAAATTAGTTCTGTCACTCGGGTAGAGGGTGCGACGTCCCCAGGTATACATATCGGGTGGGGGTATCCAATCAGAGAGTGAAATAAAAATCTTGTTTATATTTACTTTTAATAATGTGTTTATTTCATGTCTCATCTGTTTTTTATATATTTAATATATCATCCTTTCTTACATTTCTCAGTACTAGGCCTTATAGCCCACATTACTCGAGTATACACTCAAGGGGTTGGCCCCGAAAATCAACAAACTTCACCAAACCTCTGCACGTCACTGGCAAGTACACACTACCCGACCTTAGGATTGAACTTAAATTCAATATGTCACTAAATTCACAAACCAACGATTTAATCCACTAGGCAGGCAATTGTCCCATTATTTACAATATTTACAGATTCTTTTCTGTTAATTAACTTTAAATAATGTAAATTATTTATCACAAATATTAATTCACCCCAAGCAAATTACAAATTTTAAATCAATGTTTGCATGATTTTTCATAAAATTTTTGGCACTCTCTTGAAATTTTAAATCAAAATTTAAGCTATCCTAGCAACAACTCCAACCCCGAGAATGAAAAATTAGCAAAAACTCAGGAAATTATTCCCATTTTGTAAGTGTGGATGATATTCGAGGTACATATAAGAAATTTTTTACAATTTAAAAAAAAAAAAATAAAGTCTGTTTTTGGCTTGTTTATCTACGTGAGCGCGAATGTAGACCCCCTACTCTTAGAAATAGTACACCCGAGTCGCCCACATTTGGGGCGATCGCAAAAATACATCCAACCGGAGTGCAATGGAAGGGCTTTGTTTTGGGAGAATTTAGTGTGAATTTTAGTAAATATAAATTATTTTTATTGTGAGGTGAATTAGCGGATAAAGATCCTTTACTCTAGATAGTCCGAATATAGTGTAAATAAACGTCACATTTTTTATTACCCAGAATTCCATTGTGTTATAATGTATACAAAATTGGAATATCAAAACGAAAAGAAATGAAACGGAGGTTACATTCTAAATATGTATGTAAAGTTCAGTCCGTGCTCAACTCAACCGAATTGCTCTCAACTTACTGGAGCAGTAGCATGGCAATCATTATGCAGTTGGAGAGGTCGTTCGTAACAGGAAATCAAGATATAATATTCTTCATCAGATATTAAACCTAGAATTTTCTTACCGTTTTATTTTATTTATTTTTTTTAGCTGTATCCGTATTCGGAATTTTCTTTTCCTTGACGGTAATTCGTTTTGAATTATTTTTTTCATTTTTAAGCGATAGGTTCTCAATTCTAGTTAACTGTTGTTTTGTTGTGTGTGTGTGTTGAAGTGAAGTTAGGTTAAAAGAAGACATTCAAGAGTAGGAAGTGAATTGAGTAGTGAGAGGAAGAGAATTTTATTGCGTGTCACATCTTTGCATAAATCATACCACATAATGGCACCTTGTCTAGCATTATGACAATGAGAGAAATTGACAAAGACGGCAAATGGCCAGACACTGGCTGATCTTCGGAGAAAATGAGAAAGAGAGGCTCAAAACCAAAATCACATACACACACATACACCCATTATAGCAGTGAATTGATACAAATAGATAGATAGATAGATATATAGAGAGAGATATATAAATAGATATGAATCAGGATGAGATAGATAGATAGATAGATAGATAGATAGATAGATAGATAGATAATGAAAAGAATGAGATAGATAGATAGATAGATAGATAGATGATGAAAAGAATGAGATAGATAGATAGATAGATAGATAGACAGATAGATAGATAGATAGATAGATAGTGTTATGGTCTGGTTCCTTGTACCACGGTGATAGTCCAAGGTAGAACCAATAAAGAAGAACTCAAACACAGGTATGGAATAACACAGATATATTACAAACAGGAATATATACAGAGAAGTAGAAGTGTTAGTATGAACAACCAGGTTTAGTAGAGAGAACAATGTAGTCTCGACCAGTATCACTATTCCAATGTCTTGCAGTAATTGTCTGAACGCGACTCTGTTTCGGACTGCCTCTGACTCGACTCTTGACTCGACTTGAACTACTGACTCGACTTAAAATACTGACTCCATGCCTACTCCTGAGGAGCAGTATTTATTAAGTATGGAATAGTCCAGTATTATTATTATGGGTAAGATCCCATAAAAGATAGATAGATAGATAGATAATGAAAGAATGAAATAGATAGATAGATAGATAGATAATGAAAAGAATTAGATAGATAGATAGATAGATAGATAGATAGATAGATAGATAGATATGAACAAAATGGGATAGATAGATTGATCTTATTTCTTCGTCCTTTATACGCCGTGTTTCTTCCGGATATAGGTCATCATGGCCTTCCACACCTTCATCTCCCTTTTCGCTCTTAATAAGTCTTGTCTTTTTGTTATTTCTCCCAAACCCCGTTCTCTCATCCATTTGTTGAAACCCATCAAATATGTTACGCGCTGCTTTCCTCTTTATCTCTCTCTCTCTCTCTCTCTCTCTCTCTCTCTCTCTCTGTCCTCCTCTCTGTCTTGTGACTATCATATTTCCAACTCCTCCTTTCCCATTATCTCTACCAGAAATTGCATCTACCTCTTCCTAATGATAATAAGTTTTCTTTTTTGTTTCCATTTTCTCTAAAAACTCGACGTTGCTCACGTGTTTGGCTCATGGTATCTTTGGCACCCTTTCTGTAGAACCATTGCTTTAAGTCTATTGCTTCAAGTCTCTTCTTCATCTTTGTGGAGATTGTCCAGCATTCGCTGCCATATAAGAGGACAGATTTCACGTAACAGTTCAGTACTCTTTCTTTTGTTTCCAAGGACAATTTTCTGACTCTTGATACTCTGCTTAGCTTTTGGAAGGCATCTTTGGCGACTCCCAATTCGCCTCCGGATCTCAGGGTCGCACTTTCATTCCTCTGTTAGAACAATTCCCAAATATTTAAATCTCTGTATCTGCTTGATTTTATTTGGGGCTCATCCTTTTGCTGATAACCATACATTCTGTCTTCTTCTTACGGCAATAAGTATCTTGGATTGTACATTTAACAGGGCCTACCGTAAACTTAATAACTCAAAAACGAAGGCTTCGCGGACATATGTTTATATGGAATTTTGTTCTTGTTTTGGCGTGGGGAACCCGCCCTTAATGTTTCTATTTTGATACATGCTGTATATTGAAAGAGAGAGAGAAAGACAGAGAGAGAAAAAGAGAGAGAAATACACACACACTCACACATATAATACACGTGAATTGACGCTAATAGATAGATAGATAGATAGATAGATAGATATGGACAGAACGAAATCGTTAAAAATTGAAGGGACTGAATGTAATAGATAGATAGATAGATAGATAGATAGATAGATAGATATGGACAGAACGAAATAGATAAAAATTGAATGGACTGAAAGTGATAGATAGATAGATAGATAGATAGATCTATCTCACTAAACACTACAAGACGTCTGTGAAACGTTTATGCACACAGTAATAAAGGCCAACTTTTGACAACCTAGATAGACAAGCCATAAGTAACATATATATTGATGTGAATATTTATATTTAATAGATAAAGAAAGGTTTTTAAACCTTTCTTTATAGACTTAGCACCCGATTTTAGATTTTACAGATACATCGCCCGTCAGCTCAAATTAGTCTATTGAATTCCTTAACAGATATTCATTTCCCAAGTACTTTCGATCTTCTTCCAAGATCATCTTCAAGAATGCAAGTAGTACAAAACTATATGTAATTCACGGGTACATGTATTTATAGAAATCTGTGCTTCGCTATCCATTACCGTAATTTTAATTATGATTTTAGATGCAAGCGTGAAAAATTGTTCTTTTATGGGTATTTCAGAACATTACTGCAGTACTCATAGTTAATTCTGTTCAGTGACGGCTTTAATATTTTTAATATAAATTGCTTCTAAGATCTGTAACTTGAATTTATTATTTTAATGGGCGCATGACAATAACACTGTAATATAGAGTTGAAAATTCTAGAATGGATATTTCTTTCACTTTCTAGTTGTCGTTGACAACTGTTTGCGCATGCGCACTTACATCAACGAAGATATCGCTTTAGTCTGATAAACTCCTAAAGGACCAAACGCGTCACAGGAAATTTTTGTCCACGTTGCAATTAATTTTCAATACATACACACACACACACACACACACACACACACACACACGAGTGATGGGATTATGAATCTGGAATACACCCACAGCGTTCAGGATTCCATCGTTGAGCGACAGCACCCTGGAGAAATCCTAAGTAAACCAAGAATACAGTGGCCCAAAGGTAACCAGAAGACTGTTTGGACTAATCTTGACAAAGAGCTTTTTTTCCTTAATAACAATCTTAAGGGTCACATAGGGCAAGAGATCAGTTCCATTTGTAGAATAATATACGACGTTTGCTTTGAGTGATTTGAACCGGTAATGGAAAAGATAAAAAGAGGAAAAACGACCAAATCGACGACAAATTTAGAAAGGAAAGTTAAGATCAGAACAAACATTAGTGAAATATTATGCGCGCATCATCACGACCTAACATGTGCAGGTGAAATATTTGCATAGCCGTTTATAACGATTTTACGAGCGCGTCAATAACGGCAAACTCGTTCAGGAACTTTCATTACGGACAGAAGCTGCAAAGAGGAACAATCGTTTTATTTATTTCATTAAGAATTTGCAAAGAGGAACGATCAATTATTTTTTTTTTTTCACCCCTGTCTGGTGGCAAATGCTGCTGGTGGCGCCTGGGGTGGCGGTCCCGCCATAGCCACCGAAACCGTGAGATCACCCCTGGTCGGCGGCTGATGAAGTCAGGGTATCGCACGTGCTAACACACGTTGTATGTTAAAAATATATATATATATATATATATATATATATATATATATATATATATATATATACACACGCAGAAAAAAAGAAACATATTGGATTTTAAAATTAAATACACATAAACTAGGGTTAAATAAAGACTTAGGTATTTTAAATCTTTATAAACATTTCAATAGTTAAGCAATTTTTTTAGATTTTTTTTAGATATAGTTAAAAAATTTTTATTTTTTTAAACAACATCTAAAATATTTATTACAGTTAGATTTTAGTTAGCAATATCCGAACAGTGACGTTCCATATCACGTGACGTCCGCGTCTCGCGACGGACGCTACTTGCTAACAAACTGTAATTTTAATTTATTTGTAACAAACAGTGATTTCTGACGAATCTGAAATATCAAATATATATATAAATAAATAAATACTTTCATAAAATAAAACATTATTATTTTTTTTAATTTGCAACTTATATATATATATATATATATATATATATATATATATATATATATATATATATATATCTCAAGATAAATCAAGAAAAACCTTAAAAATCCATATATGTATTTTTATATTCATTTCTTCAGTCCGAAAGATTTTTAGAAATGGAGTCAATCCATTCAGACAGACACATCGGGATAAAAAAAAAGAGGAGGCGTAAAAAGACAAAGACAACAAGGGAAAAGGAAAAAAGAAAAAGGAAAAAAAAATATAATAAAAAAAAGAAGAAAGAAAAGTTAAAATTTACAAATATAATCTTCATTTTTAAATTTGTAAAAATTAGAAGAAGAATGAAAGAGGGAGGGGGAAGAGAGCGTGAAAGAAAAGAAAAGAAAGAAGAAAGAAAGAAATGTTGAGCCAATAACAAAACTAAAAAGATTGAGCTAGAAACTTATATGGTGGGTAATGACCAAAATTCGAAAACTCCGTCGGGGCGTGTTTCGTTCTTCAAAAGAACTTCTTCAGACTAAATAATGTTTTTATTAATGGGATCATATATATATATATATATATATATATATATATATATATATATATATATATATATAAAGAACAGTAAGATATATAACCCGGTGTTCTTATTGATATTTTTATTTTTACAAAACAATGCTCAATGTAAATTTACAGAGCATAAATATTATAAATTAACTGATTTGAAAATATGGTTCCTTCACTACACATGACTTACCATGTTCCAAAAAACGAAGCTAAAAACTTCAAATTTAATTATATGATTAAATTGGATTCTACTTTGCGCAATAAGAATTACTCTCCAAGCATAACAGAAGAATCGTGATGAAATCAATCATAAATGAAAATAACATGTTTATCATTAATTAATCATAGCTAAGGACCGGAAGCTCATGTAGGATAGAACTAAAATTCAAACATATATATATAATATTCTAGCATCATTTTCCAACTTATTCAAGATGATCTTCGCCCTCTCTAACCTTCTAACTTTCTGTCCTGGAGTAACAAGGTGCCTCACGTTTCACGCAGGATTTAATTTTCAAGTTTTTTGGGGTTTTTTTTTCACTGCTCTTTGGACTATAGGTGAAACTCTTCTCTCACGTGACAAACGTCTTATCAATTGAGTTGGATCTTTTCTAACTGATATCTTTAGCTCTAAGTTGAAATGATGATCCCTCTTTCTGTTGTGACTTCCTGATCCAGATTCCCCCTTTACTGATCCATCATTTTAAAACTTATTCACCGTTCTTTTAATGATTCTTGAATGAACATTAAAGATGGAAGTCAGAGTATGAAGGTTGGTACAATTACTGAAGGCCTGCATGATCTTTTTTTCTTCTAACCATTGCTGAATTGGGAAAACTGTTCTTCTGACAGAAAACAATTTTGACCTGCTCTGTTTTTAGCTGAATAACTATAAGAGTTTTCAGTGATTCTTACGAAAAATGGAGTGAAGATGGCTAAACGTCTTATATGAAGACCTCGCAAACTGAAGCTCAGTTAGTTTAGTGTCTCTTTTTTTTTTTGGGGGGGGGGTATTTTTGTGTAGGATGGTCAATTATCGCATGCTGTTAAACGATTTGGACAATTTTTCTGTTACACCCGGTATGTAGCGTGAGAGAAAGAAATGCAAACGTCTTTTATAAATATAGTAAGCGGAAATTAGATGTGTCTCAAGGCTGATAGTATAGAACACCTGGTGAGAATCGAACTCACGCTGGTTATAATTATAGCTGGAGAGAAACGTTGGAAAATCACTACTTGTTTGTTTCTTTCCTTTCATGTATCAGGTGAGTGTTAATTTCAGCAAACGTCCTTTCTTTATTATGTGTCGCAAATATGTTTGTCGTCTTCTCTCGCTCTCTCTCTCTCTCTCTCTCTCTCTCTCTCTCTCTCTCTCCTTGTTAGCAATAATTTCCTTGTAGTTCCATTGAAATCTGTTCAAATTCATTTGTCATATTTTGTAGCCAATTATTTTGGCCTTCGGTCATAGATTTCCCAAATGTTAGACACGTAGCTGATATTTCTATCACTTAAGATTCCAAGATTATAGAAGTATGTATCAGATAATTACCAACTCACCTAACTTCCAAAAATACCTTGGTGTATATATATATATATATATATATATATATATGTAGGACATATAGCATTATACTACCTATAATGTCACGTCAATGCAGACACAGAACAGAGGTGCAACATTTAAGAAGTCAGTCTGCTGAGTGACGACATATGCATTGTTATCACTGGTAAGGACGAGAAGGGCAGAAAGGAGAGAAAAAGAAAACAAAAAGAAATAGAAAATTCTCCAGGATACAAAATTAATCGGTGAAAACGGGTGGGGTTCCTCTTCAGTCAACCTTTCCACCTTGATCAGCGATCCATTCTCAAAGTGTTTAAAGGTAATCAAAGGTCGAGTGGATAATTTTTGCAACGGAATAAAAAAAAAGAAGCAGAAAAGAAAGTTTTCTTTTTTTTTTATTCAGTTGAAACAGAAATTGTTTGCATTTTCTTTGTGTTTTTTTTTTTTTTTTTTTTTTTCTTTTTGGTTAATAAACCGTTTATTTATATTAATTCCGAGTGTCATTTTTCAACCTGGCCGTGCGTCTCGAAAAAGACCTCCAATCGGTTGTGAACTGGGGCAGCAATTGGCTGGTTAACTTTAATGCCACAAAAACAAAACTGCTCCCTATTAATCACCACAGAGATCCTTCCCTGCCCCCCATTAGAATGTCTGACGCTCAACTTCTCGAGAGCACCTCTCTGCGGCTGCTCGGTCTCACGTTGACTGCTGACCTGAGATGGAACAAATACATTGAGTCAATTGCTTCGTCCACCGCAAGGAAAGTTGGTTCCCTGTGTCGCGCCAGGAAATTTTTCTCCCCGGAATCGATCCTCCAGATCTACAAATCAAAAATTCGCCCTTGCATGGAGTATTGCTGCTATATATGGTCTGGTGCCCCTTCTGTTTGCCTCGGGGTTCTTGATAGGCTCCAGAGGCGGATATGCAATATAATTGGCCCTGTTCTGGCATCTCGTCTACAGTCACTTTCTCACAGACGCGCCGTCGCCTCTCTCTGTCTGTTTTACAAATACTTGCATGGCAATTGCTCCGTGGAGCTGCATTCGCTGGTCCCCAGACTTCATGAGTTCAAGCGCCCTACGAGGCTGGCATCCCGCTCTCACCCCTTCACTGTCAAAACTCCTAAATGTAGCCGTCACTTCTACTCCAATAGCTTCATATTTCACACCTCTCGCCTGTGGAACTTCATACCCTATTCAGGTTTCCGTGATAGCTATAATCTCCAGTTATTCAAATGTAATGTCAATCGATACCTCCAGTTAACTTGATCTATCCACTATCCTTCTCCTCATCCTTTCTTCTATCACTCATATCTGATCTTGCTCCAAATTTTCTGTAATCCCTTGCGTCCTAGTGGCTTCTCGCCTTGCTTGGGGTGAAACGCTTAAAAAAAAAAGCCATCGAAATATGCCGTTTTGTGAAAGTTTTTTTTTTTTTTACCTCGAATGAAGAGAGACTTTTATTTATTTAAATGTCATGCTCCTTCAAGTTGTAGGCGATCATGACTACCCAAACATTCCTTCTCCGTCCTGGGTATGACGATAAACTATATCCGCGTCCTGGGTAAGACTACATCGCTAACACCGACACCCCATCTCACACACACACCTACTATAACTTAGTAACTGTATACCTTGATTGGCTCTTGGACCATGTTCTGTTTGAAATTTAGCAAAAAACATTTTGTCCCTCTTGTCTTGATTGGCATCCAGACTTATAGAAGACCAACTAAAATTTAAAAAAAAAGGAAAAACGTAGATAAAGTAAAACCGTTTCCACAAAATCATAACAATCCACAGATAATAAACAAAAGTAATGTTTGGTTTGGTTTGGTTTGTTTTGTTTTACGGCATATCAACCTCAATGGGTTATTTAACGCCGCCAACTTTTTTTTTCCTGGTAATATTTTGTTTTGTCGAAAATCTATTTCTGGTAATATTTTTATTATCTGAAAAATGTATAGCTGGTAATATTATTTTCAAAAATGTATTGCTGGTAATTTTTTTTCAAATAATAGTGATAGTTTTTTTTTTCTTCAAAAATGTATTTCTGGTAATAATATTTTTACAAAGTATTTCTGGTATTAAAACCTATTTTTACACTTTCATAATGTTTTTTTTTTTTTTACCTCAGTTTCGGAGTTAACTATTTTCCCATAGCTGGGACCCTAACAGGTTCTACCACCCCGGGTCAGAGTGGACCTGGGAACACCAGCAATTAAGAGGTGGTTCCATGCTCCTCAAAACCTCCTGATCAGAGGCCTTACTGTTGGATGTAATTTATAGTCTTACCCCGAACACGGATGTAGTTTATCGTCATACCCAGGATGGAGAAGGAATGTTTGGGTAGTCGCGATCTCCTACAACTTGAAGGAGCATGACATTAAATAAAAGTCCCTCTTCATTCGATGTAAAAAAAGAAAAAAAAAAACTTTCACAAAAGGCATATTACACTCAACATTCATTTGTAAAAAAATTAACATCAATCCTTCTCTTAGGCATTTAGGCTTCAGTAGTTATTTTTCTATTGCTTTAAATCAGTAGGATCAATTCAATCGTAATAAATAATGACAACACACAAGGTGAAATCTATTAAAGCAACCAGCGGGAGAAAAAAATATAGCACAATCTAAGGGAAGCAACTCTATGAGACCTAATATGGAATATTTACCATATATGGAAGAGTTATCGGTAATGGTACGTCTGGCTTAACGAAGCAGACGATCCGATAAAAATTACACGAACAGAATTGAATTATTATTATTATTATTTACACGAACAGAATTGAATTATTATTTTTATTTATTTATATTGTTTTTTTATTTTATTTTATTTGTTTTTTATATAATTATTATTATTTTTATTTATTTTATTTTATTTGTTTTTTTTTATTTTATTTTATTTGTTTTTTTATATAATAATTATTATTTTTATTTATTTTATTTTATTTGTTTTTTATATAATAAGGCCCAGGAGCCACTCGTGGTAGAGGGTTAAGTTAAGAGTTAGTTTATATGGACAGGAAGGGAAGATAACGGTTGACTCTAGGCTTGAACAGGTTAAGATTGTAGTGATGGGGGAAAACATCCTCTAGGGAATCTGTTCCACAGGGCAGTGGTTCGAGGAAAGAAGCTGTTTGAGTGTGATTTATTTCTCATCATTAGACTAGGGAGCGAATGTGGGTGATTTTCTACTATATAAGTGGTAAGGAGGGTCCTAACCGTGAAAGTTAGATCTAGTGGGACCAGGAGATGCAGTTCGTCCGAACACTTGGTAGTGGCGTTAGATCAGTGAGGGACTCGCCACCTCCCGCCAATGAGAAAGAAAATTCATATAGAAATAGAAGAGAAAAAATATTTTTGAAAAAATTGTTTTGTTCAAAATTTATTTAATGCATTTTTCTTGTTTTATATTTATATATATATATTTTTTAAATGTGTATATTTTGGCAGTATATATTCATTCAAACATGTTTCATTGAATAATATACATACGTTGTGTCTATCTTTATACTGATCTTTTCCAGTTAATCAGTTTCTTAATGTTAAAATGAAATTTATTGAGGTAGGCGCCGTAATTTTTTTTTTTTTTTTTACTTTTGATCTTTCCTAAGATGATTTTCAGGGGTAAAAGACGCCGTAATTTTTTTTTTTTTAACCCAACTACTTTTGATCTTTCCTCAGATGATTTTCAGGGGTAAATTACAAAGACAAACTAATGTTCTCGGCCAGGATAGATAGATAGATAGATAGATAGATAGATAGATAGATAGATAGATAGATAAAATCTGCATTCTCTTGCGATAGTGATTTTCAAAAATAAGCGTAAACACGTATTTTCTGTGAAAATTTCTCGGACATTCAGTCCGGTAAATGTTGTTTAATACTGTTTATTATAAACAGGACATTTACTTAAATATTTGTATCTATAAAAAGAATGTATAAACATAAAAATGTCTTAAAATAATTGTCGGACTTTGTCCATTTCATTATATATATATATATATATATATATATATATATATATATATATAATTTTTTTTATAAAAAAATTATAACATAAGTATGTTATAAAATCACTACAAAAATAGCCATTTTGTTTCAACACACTCTGTGTCTTATCAAGTGATGATGTTGAAAAGAAAATAAATGGTTTTAAAAGTATTAGATTAATTAACGATCCTACACTTTTTTTCTTTTCTCAATAATTTTGTAGTTTTTAAACTTAATAGTAATTAAATTTGGATTTTAAAATTGCCAGTTTTTAATTTTAATATTAAATTTTATCATATAATTTTATAATTATTGGTTAGTATAAATTATTTTTAATATTACACGTATTTAAAGATCTGAATAGCTATTATAACATGATTTTGTTGTCAAGCTTTTGAATCTTTCTATACTTGGTTTTTGATTGGTTATTCTAGCTTTTGTAACAATGTTTCCCCCCTAGTGAAGGATCGTTAATTAATCTGAAACTTTTAAAACCATTTATTTTATTATCAACATCATCACTTCATAAGACACAGAGTGTGTTGAAACAAAATGGCTATTTTTGTAGTGATTTTATAACATACTTATGTTATAAATTTTTTTATAAAAAATAATTATAACTGCTCTATTTTGTATTGAGCACTCTTTTAAGAATAGTAATTGTTGGTTATTGGAATTCATTCCGTATATACCAATTATATACTTATATATATATATATATATATATATAGAGAGAGAGAGAGAGAGAGAGTTTTCATACCTAATTCATTCTGTTGGTATCTATCTATCAAACTATCTATCTATCAATCTACCTATTTATCTACCTCAATTGTATCTATGTACTTATCTGCTTATTTAATTCTCTCTTTCTGTATTTCTAAATCATCTCAAAGCCCATACCTCTAAATGTATTGTTATCTATATATCTGTCTATTTCAATAAAAAACCTCTTTATCCATTTATGTAAAGTGTTTCTGTCTGTCTATATCCCTCGCTCCCTTTCTCTCTCTCTCTCCCCCTACAAATAGAAAACGTTTATCGATTTAATATGGTTATCTTTTATTAAAGCTACATCAGAAAATGAAATATGCACAAAAAAGAAAAAAAGATCTGGTATTTTTTTTTATCAGGCTTCACGTGCACCTGTCTTATCAAACAACATTTATATATATATATATATATATATATATATATATATATATATATATATATATATATATATATATATGTCAAACAATATATATATATATATATATATATATATATATATATATATATATATATATATATTATTATAAAACGCAGATTTGTGTGTGTGTCTGTACGTTTATATATTGGATCGGATTTCCTACATTTTTCAACCGATTTCAACAAAACATAACAGGACTACGTAAAATTCAGCGCCCAAAAATGAAAAAACACAATTGTTTTTGCACGAAATCAATTTAAAAACACGATAAAACACGATACTGTCACCAGAATGAAAGGGGGACAACTCATATCGAGTTAAACTTATTATAAAACCCAGGTGTGTGTGTGTGTGTGTGTGTGTGTGTGTGTGTGTGTGTGTGTGTGTGTGTGTGTGTGGTCGTTTATATATGGGATCGGATTTCCTACATTTTTCAACCGATTTCAACAAAACTTCACTTTTTTTTTGGCAGGTAGTGTTTCCTATTGTCTTGCACACTTTTTTCTTTATTTTTACATTCAGAATGCTTTAAAATTTCCATTTACAAGAAACTGTTTATAATAAAATAAAATATAGATAGATAGATAAATAGATAGATAGATAGATAGATAACAAGAGATGTAGAGAGGTAGTTTGAGAAGGAACAAGGAAAAGAGATCTGCCTTGCTGACATGCATGTTGCACACTACTGGGCTGTTCAAGATCAACGCTACATTTGTTTTCTAGAAAAATAAAAAACTATGTACGATGTCTTCAGTGTTTAATCATTATCTTTGATATCCATAAAATAAAAATAGATGCATTAAAAACAAGCTGCGAATCCTTTTTTTGATTTTTTTAACTTGGCTTCTATTCTTAGAAAAACAGCCATGATTTCGACTACACCCAGCAGGAAACTTTGCACTGTGGCTCAAATAACATCGATGCTTGATCAACAAATAAATGAGACCTCTTAGCTTCGTGGCGGGTAGACAACTTCAGTTTTCCTTATATATTCGATTGTATTACAGGAGGTAATAAAATAAACTTTATTACTGTACGCTATTATAAACCAGTTCGTAGCTGATTCCTTTACGCCCCTGCTGACAATAAGCCGTCAACGACAGTATCTCAGCGTATTCAATAACAGTTTGTTTTTTTGTTTTTTAGCAATAATGGAATAACTTATTATAAAAAATATAGGGTGACCCAAAAAAACGGGAACTTTTTAACAATCCAGTAAAACCAAGAGTAATGGAAGAAAAATATTTTATTCATAGTAATTGAAACCTTAAAACATGCCATTTAAGAAACAATGATGGAATTTTCCTTGTAGATGGCGTCCTCCTGTACGAATGCATTCTTGAAATCTGCTGCTGAGATTCCTCATTGACTGCTGCAACATCTCAGCTGGGATACTGTGAATTTCATCTTGAACTCTAAATGGCGAAATGTTTACTTGCTCAAGGTCACAGTCTCGCAGTGTTGCCACTTGCTTTGATTTTCATTTTTTGCTGTTTTTTATGCTTTTACTTCTTTTATGCAACAGAAGTTTCTTATTTATTTGTTTTTTCATTTTTTTTTTTTCATTTTTTTTGGGTGGGGGTGTTTTATTAACGGTCGTTTTCTTGGCCGAACCTAAACTATTTTTTTCGTCGAACTAGACTTAAAAGAATTACTCCGGCGACTTCCCGGCCAAGGCAGTACCATTTCAGAGAATACAAGTGTTGTTCACTACCACCTTTGCGACAAGCTTCCAGTCTAGCCAACTTAATAACGTGGACGACAATAGACAGGAAATTGTGAAGAGCCATGGTCGTCCACGTCCTGAAAGGACATGGCACGTAAAAGTAACTTTGCGTCTAAATTATCAACCTTTAATCAAGAATGTCAAACTCCTGACTACGTAGATGACCCTGTTATAATAATTGTTTGTCCTCGTGTCAATCACTGTAAATAAAATTTATCGTCACGAAATTGGCGACACAAGCAAGAGTTGCTCCCCTTACACTTTCTCTGAATGGACGACTTTGTATGTTATTCATTAACAAGGAATTTATATAATATAAATCCTTGCTATCGAATAACAGAAAGTAATAAAAATTTTATATTATATCAGCCAATTGCCCAATTCACACTGGGATATACTTTTTACCCAGCCATATTTTGTTATTATTATTATTATTATTATTATTATTATTATTATTATTATTTTCTTTGATTTCTGGCGTTTATACATTTCTTTCCGGGTCCCGCCCAGGCAGGGACCTAAGGTTAGAAATGGCATCATGACACTTTCTACTGAAAAAAAAAATAATAATTACATAGATAAAGTCCTTCGTAAAGTGCGTGCTGTAGTTGTCAGAACAATTTTTTGTATCTCTTTGAAGCATGGGCTTCCAGGAATTCCTTCAATTAGTCTACTGGAATCTTTTACATTCTACGGAAGTAGCAATGGAGCAGTGAGAGGCTTGCTGTTATATCTGTTATCGTTCCGTTGCTGTTAGATTATTATTATTATTATTATTATTATTATTATGTAAGGCAGTAAATCCACTAAGATACAAGCGATTACTGACTGTAAAAAACTAAGAAAAAAGAGAAACATTATTAAGGAGCGAAAATAAATGAAGAGTAATTAAGAAAACAGGAGAGAACGATTGGCATTGTATTTAAATGTTTAAAGATCAAAGCTGACTCGAAAGCATGGCGCCGGAAGAGAGTTCTGCAAGCAAGAAGGGCGAGAGAAAAAAATGTTAGCATAGAACTTACGGTTACATCTAGTCAATTCAATTACCACCTATCTAGTACTCAGCTTAAATATTATTATTATTATTATTTTTTTTTTTTTTTATTTCTTTTGATTTCTGGTGTTTACACATTTTGTTCCGGGTCCCGCCCAGAGACCTAAGGTTAGAAATGTCATCATGACAGTTTCCACTGACCAGTTAAAAAAAAAAACATATTTTACATATATAAAGCCCTTCGTAAAGTGTGGGCTGTACTCGTAAAAACAATTTTTGTATTTTTTTAAGACATGGGCTTCCAGGAATCCCTTCAATTAGTCTACTGGAATCTTTTCCATCCAATCCGAGGGCTCCAACTAGATCAGGGTTAGTTGATGTTCCCATATGCCACATTTTTTAGATTTCGATTTCAAGGTCCTTGTATTTTGATAGCTTTTTGAAGATCTTCAAAGATACATTACAGTCCGCAGGGACTTCCATATCAATAGGGAGGCATTTATTTTTACGGTCTCTAATAACAATGTCTGGCCGATTAGCTTTGGTTGGTCTGAGTGTATTGTGAAGTCCCATAAAATTGTACTGTCTCCGTAAACGATTCTGGGTAGTGTTCATACCAATTTCTTTCATTTCCTTTCCGTAGAAGTTGCCGATTTTCCAGTGCAGATATTGGCCCACTCTGTCATGCCGGGTTTTATATTCAGTGGGTGCCAACATCGTGCAACCTGATAGAAGATGATCAATCGTTTCTGGATATTTATCACAGAATCTGCATTTTGGGCTAACACACTATTTTAGTATATGCGCTTGATAATTCCTGGTTAACAAGCATTGGTCCTGTGCAGCAAGGATACAACCTTCAGTTTCAGCTTTCAACCCTGCACTACGTAGCCACTGATGGGTACGGGTTTTGTCTACGTCAGCTTGTTTGGTACAGGCAGAGTATTGGTCATGAGGCGGTTTATCTTGCCATTGTTTCTGTATCTGGTCGGTTGCATTTGGTTTTGCTGTCTTTTTTAAGTATTTTGCAGCTTCAGCCAGTGTACTTTGCTTTACTTGTATTTCTGCGCCCATTTGAAACTCCATTTTGTTTTTGTTGGCTTCATTTTTTACAGAGTAAAGACGCTTACTAATTTCATGTTCCTTGACACATACCATCATCCAGTCTTCTGTAGTTTCCAAGTATCTTTGGAGTCCAATTGTTGTAGTTTTGTAGGACAGTTCTAGTTGAACTAATCCTCTGCCTCCTCTGGATCTGGGCACATACAGACGATCCACATCAGCTTTGGGATTATGCATGCGGTAGCAAGTGAGAAGCTTTCTCGTTTTGGCGTCCATTCGCTTAATTTCAGCTATGGACATTAAAGCTGTATTGCACCACAGGGACAGCCAAGGTGTTTATGGCTGATATTCTGTTTTTTGAGTTTAGCTCGGTATTTAGTACCAGACGTATACGCCTGTAGTACTCCATTCTAAACTTCTTCATTTGGGGTGTTGTATGCCATCTCCTTCGCTAATTCCTAGGTACTTATAAGCTTCATCATGCTCCAGTTCCCTAATCTTTGTGACAAAATCTAAATCTATTAAGGGTGTTTCTGTAATTCTACCTTTCTTGAATGTTACTTTTGCACATTTATTTAATCCGAAATCCATACCTATGTCGTCACTGAAGTATTTTACAATGTTGAGGAGGCCATTAAACTCATTGTCGTCTTTGGCAAAGAGTTTGAGATCATCCATGTAGAGTAGGAATATTTTCTTATTTATTTTGTAACCATAGGTACTCTTGTTCAGTTCATGCGAATGGGGGATTAAGGACAAACAAAACAGAAGGGGTGAGAGTCTCCTTGAAAGATTCCACGTTGGATATTTAGACGGTTTGATATGGCAGTACCTCTGGTGTGACTAAGGTATAGTTTGGTGTTCCACATTCCCATGCTGTGCATAAGGAAATTTAATACCACAGGGGAAACTTTGTACATTTCCAAAGTCTTAAGGATACAAGAATGTGGAACACTATCAAAGGCTTTACGATAATCAATCCACGCTCCGCTAATATTTCTACGTCGTCTCCTGCAATTTTCCAGGATCATTGTATTTATCAGTAGTTGATCTTTGCAGCTATATGAACCTCTCCAGCATCCCTTCTGTTCCAGAGGAAGAATGCTGTTTTATTATTATTATTATTATTATTATTATTATTTCCTTTGGTTTCTGGTGTATACTCATTTCTTTCCGGATCCCGACCAGAGACCTAAGGTCAGAAAGGGCATCATGACATTTTCCATTGAACTGTTTTAAAATAATCGCACATATTTTACATAGATAAAGCCCTTTGTAAGGTGTGAGCTGTACTTGTGAGTACATTTTTTTTATATTTCTTTAAGGCATGGTCTTCCAGGAATCCCTTCAATGAATCTATTGGAATCTTTTCCAATCAATCCAAGGGTTCCAACCACAACTGGAATTGTTAATGTCCTCATGTGCCACATTTAATGATATTTCGACTTCAAGGTTCTTGTATTTTGATAGTTTTTTTTTTTTGAAGATCTTCAAACATACATTGCAGTCTGCCGGGACCCGCCATGTCAATAAGGAGGCATATTTTGACTTTGCGGTCTTTAATTACGATGTCAGGGCGATTAGTTTTGATTGTTCTGCCTGTGTGTATTGTAAAATCCCATAAAATTGTTACAGGTCCTATCTCTGTAACTGGATCTGGGTGGTGTTCATACCAATTATTATTATTATTATTATTATTATTATTATTATTATTATACCTAAAACTTGACCGGCTTATATCAACATGGATCAGCACTTCTGTCAAGAATCAGTGGAGCACAATTCCCGGTGTTCAGGCTTGTACCGCAAATAAGTTGAACGGACATGAGTTATTATAGAGAGTGCTCAAACTGGCATAACCAGGAATATTTGAAAAAGGTACCCGGTGGAGT